CTCAATCCATAAGTTCCCTTCCATACCACAACCAACCTTCCCAATCACCTGTATCTATGCCAACTCTCCAGGCTTGGATCAGGAGGCACAACCTGCACACCAGCTGAGTCCTTTCTATCTACCTGACTTCAGTACATCTAGGCCTTTTCATACCTCTGGACATAACCCACCTTCGTATTCTTTCTTCAGTCCCAACGTGCTCTCTCCATATTGGACTTATAACTTCCAAAAATTTTTAGATCCCACCTCAAGAATACCAACGATATGAATCATCAAGTCAATATCGTCTCGATAAATCTTACCTGTCCTATAGAAATACTTGCCAGTGAGAAGTACATAGAAGAATTCCCAAACACCGATTTAAGGGAATAGTCATAAACTTCATCAAAGTATTTCAAGTTCAAAAACTACACAACTAAATGGCTCAATGAGATTAAAGAAAAGAAGCTTAAGGAGAATAAATACTTGAGTGATAGCCAAGAGAACACAAGTATTCGGCTCATGGAAACAATAAAGATAATCTAGAACTGGAGAATGAAATTCAATAAGGAGAAGGAAGCATGGAAGAAGACATAAGCTGAAGTGAAGATGAAATATGAGAACCTATTTACTCGCCTAGAAAACGCAAAGGAAAACCTTAGAAGTAGAATGAATCAAGCAGAAGGCACACTATCAGGGCACAAACATGAAGTAGAGGATCGACACTAAATAAGCAAAGTATAATGAAAGTTTTTAAAAACAGAAAATAAATATACAGGAAATGTGCAAAACCAGGAAAAACAAAGCTCCAAATTATAGGCAAAGAAGAGGGAGAATTATCCCAAGTCACTGGCAGAGACCAACTCTTCAGCAACACCATAGAAGAAAACTTTTCTAAACTAAAGAAAGACATACCTACCCATATAATTAGAAACACACAGAACATCAAATAGACCAACCCAGAAAAGAAAATCCCTGAGGCATACCATTGCTAAAACTCTACATATACATAAGAAAGTAAGTATATCAAAAGTTTCAAGAAACAAAATACAAGACGCACATAAAGAAAACCAACCAGAATAACAGATGATTTCACAGTGGAAACACTGAAAATCAGAAATGCCTGGAGCAATGCATTCCAAGTCCTAAAAGGCTATGAAGGTCAGCCTAGACTAGCATACCTTGCAAAACTGTCTCCCATAAGTGAAGGAGAATAAAATACTTTCTACAATATAAACAACCTAAAAGATTGTATGTGACAAACAAAACCCAAAGGAAAAGGAACAAACAATATTTTGGGCTAAAGAGAAATATAAACATAGCACAATGACTATTTAAATAAATAGAAAGCCTTAATTATTAAAACACAAAGTGCTACCTTTGGTGACAACACCAAATATCAACAATACAATGTCTGTAATTAAAACACACATTCCAATAAAGACTTAAGTATCAATGAGCTCAATTCTCTAATCAAAAGACATGGACTGACTGAATGGATTATGGTGGTTTCTCAGAAAATTGGAAATAAACCTCCCTCAGGACCGACCCAGCAATACTACTCTTGGGCATATACCCAAAGGATGCTCAACAATACTACAAGGACATTTTCTCTACTATGTTCATATCAGCATTATTTGTAATAGCCAGAATCTGGAAACAACCTAGATGCCCCTCAACTAAAGAATGGATAAAGAAAATGTGTACATTTACACAATAGAGTAATACTCAGCAGAATAAAAATGATGACATTTTGAAATGGATGGAACTAGAAAAAAACATCCTAAGTGAAGTAACCCAGACCAAGACAGTCAAACATCGTATGAACTCACTCATAAATGGACATTAGATCTAAAGCAAAGAATAAGCAACCTGTAGTCCATGTTCCCAAAAAAGCTAGGTAACAAGGAGAACTCTAAGAGAAACGTACATGGATGCCCTGGAAGAGGAAATAGACAAGATCTCCTGAGAAAATTGGGACTGTGGGAGTGGGAAAAGAAGGGAGGGTCAAAGGGTAGGAGGAGTGGAGAAGGGTTGGGGGAGAAGAACGTGAGGGAATGGGATGGTCGAGATGAGGGAGAGATAGAAAGGGAGAGCAATTGAGGGAGAAATTATGGGGCTAGCAAAAAACATGGAGTTAGGGAAATTCTCAGAAATTCACAAAGACCACCCCAGCTAACCCTAAACAATAGTGGAGAGGGTGCCTGAACTAGCTTTGCCCTGTAGTCAGATTGATTATAACCTTGTCATCATAGAGCCTTCATCCAGTAACTGATAGAAGTAGATGCAGAGATCCACAGCTAAGAACTGAGCTGAGCTCCCAAAATCCAGCTGAAGACAGGGAGGAGCAACAATATGAGCAAAGGGTTGACCATGATGGGGATACCCACTGAAACATTTTACCTGAGCTAATGTGAACAAACAGACTCCAGACTGACAGTGGCGGAACCAGCATAGGACCAAACTAGGCCTTCTAAATGTAGGTGACAAGTTGTATGGATGGAGCAGTCTGTGGGGCCACTGGCAGTGGAACCAGGATTTATCATTTATCATTACTGCTTGAACTGGCTTTTTTGGAACCCAGTCTTTTTGGAGGGATACCTTACTTTCTTGGTGCATAAAATCTCAGGTAAATTGACAACAAGCCCCATATTTTTCATTTGACACACTGTTTTTACTGTCATGAGCAGGAGATACTCTATGTAGAATCAGCATCAAAAGAGTTCTGGTATTGTGTGAGACATTAAAAAAAAAAAAATCCTTCATTCTTAAATGCTGACCAAACTGAGAAGTCAGCAGAGAAGATCCACACCAAAGTGGGATAGTTTCTTTCTAACAGGTTGGAAAACTCTGTAAGTTACAGAGTAAAATGCCTGATTCTAATGCCTTGGTGTGTGTGTGTGTGTGTGTGTGTGTGTGTGTGTGTGTGTGCTTGTGGAGATCAGAAGAGGATGTCAGAACATTTTGACCTGGAGTTGCTGTGATACACATAACATGAATGTGGGTGCTGATAACTACAATTGGGTTTTCTGGAAGAGCATCAAATGCTATTAATTGCCTTATTATCTCTCCTGCCTATGTTTCTATTTTCTTTAAATGAGAAACACTGTGTATCCAGCTTGGTTTTTACTGCTGTATTGCATGCAAGAGACAAATCTCTTTGAAGTAAAGATATGACAACTGGAAGCAGTTAAAGTCTAGATATATCTGACCATAATCTTTATTTATTTTTTAAGTTGCTAAGTTCACAAGAGCAATCTTTAGATGTACACCTCATAATATGATATTATAGTCTTCCATTTTCTCTAATGTTTCAGAGAAAATGACCAAGATTTTTATATAAGAGTTGTTTGGGGGGTTTTGTTTGTTTGTTTGTTTGTTTGTTTGTTTTGATGCTTCCAGGCTAACAAAGTTTTCTATTTTACATAGAAAAGATATTTCTACTGATATCATTTACCATTTTGAACAAAGGACTGTGTCACCCTTCAGAAATATACATTTTAACAGCCCACTTGTATCCATAGTTGTTATGCAATCCCCCTAGTAGGACTCTCTTTGGGGTTGGAGAGAAAGTTATTGTGTGGATACATATAACTCAATTCAGTATTCATTCTCAGCATGATACAAAAAGATTTCTCTCTTTCTCTCCTCTCATATTCTCTCATTTCTTGGATATTCCAACATCTCAACACACAAACAAAGACACAAGGGATGAGATAGTTAAGAGTCTGATATTAAATAATAACAAATATCATTACACCCAAAAATACTAGTCGTTGATATATTCTTCACAGTTACAGAATGTTTTGCTAACTCAGTGGAAGAATGTCATTTCCCATCTCAGTGTACCAGAGAGCTATAAGACCCTAGAAGTTAGCTGTTCCTTCCTGTGGAGAGTGGATGTAGTACAGAGTGAATGTGGATTACTGACACCAGCATGACCAGGTCACCATTGGGAATAGTGAGACCTTCTGAAGTTAAGCTCGGGGTAAAGGCAAGACCTTTCCCTTTTCTGAGCATGGATGTAGATAAATGGTTGACCTTTAGACAGAAAGAGCACATTTGAAAAATACCAACTGCAACTTCAATCAGGGATGATTACATGATCAGGACCCCCTACAGAGACACTTCGACAACAGAGACTAACGTGCCTCCTCATTCATGCTGTATATAATATCTTAATTCCTGTCACCCCCAACCAGGTTTCTAGGACCGAGTTGCACATGCCACATTACGCAAGCAGCAAGACCCCAGCGGACAGAACATGACCTGAATGAGAACATTCAAACCTGGGTAGACATGACAAGTCTAACCCTCTCAGCAGCACTGTCAGGTCTCTCTGAGGGTATCACATCCAGTTTCCCAGAGCAGTGGTCCTCAGCCTGTGGTCACGACCCTTTAAGGGTCACATACCAGCTATCCTGGGTATCAAAGATTTAGATTACGATTCATAACAGTAGTAAAAGTACAGTTATGAAGTAGCAATGAGAAGATGTTATGGCTGGGAGTCATTACAACATTAGGAACTGGGTTTAGAGAACTGCTGTTTAGTGCCTCTATGATTCCCATTGGTTAGCTCAAGCACATCAGGTTAAATTCTCTCAAGAAATTAATGACGATATGCTTTAGAAATTCATATCACACTTACACCAACCTCCTATCCGATATAACCTTTTTTCTAGCGTTGCGGCCACATTTCTCTCTCTTAGCAGGTTCAAGCATCTACTTTCTCAGCTGTAATTTGGAAAAAAAATCAAAATTTCTCTGCTTATTTCATAAAACCCTTGGAAGAATCAAACAATATTACACTTGAAAATGACAAAGTGGTTACACGGAAAGTAACAGAATTGTTCTTGTCCTGTTATTCAAATTAAAACTCCAGTAAGAAGAACATTCATATTATTATACCTCTCATGATCCATAAAGATTAGAACCATCAAGGATTGAAGAATAAAATGTAACTACTCTGTTCAGATATAAAAATCAATCACATTTGGGGCAGGTGTACTAGCCACGCTTACCTGTTTCTGAAAGCAACTTTGTGGCTTCTAGCACCTTCTCAGTGTATACCCCAGCTTCGTAGTTCTCCATCTCTGCATTGATGATGTGAATTACCCGGGCTGCCCGGCCCCGTATGGCCCCAGCTGTTCGGTCCAGTGTATCCACGTCCCCCTCTTGGAGGGCAATCACACATTTGTTCACATCCTCCAAGATGTGATTTTCTGTGGAGAGGGCACACACACATTTATATGACTTTGTACTATTTGCAGTCTAATAACTAATCTAAAACAATTTCAACACTTCACCTTGCAGATCCAACTACATAACTAATAATATGAAATTGTATTTAAAGGGCATCTCTTATAATTATAATAGTAGTTGTAATTCCTGAGCACCAGCCAGAGGGTTTATTAAACCAATCCTTTGACAAGACTTCGGGAGTTTCTGACTCAGTAGCGGTACTGCTCAGTTTTTGTTCATTTAACAATGTTGGTAAATAGAACATCAAAGAAGGAATTGACTCCAATAGAATGGCCAGTGAGCACTTTGTGAAACATTTTCTTAATTCATGGTTGATGTGGGAGGACCCAGCACACTTTTTGCAGTGCAACGCCTGGGCACGTGGTCTTGAATTATAAAAAAAAGCACTCAAATCAAGCCATGGCAAGCAAGTATGCAACTTTCTTCATGGATTTTGTTTGGGTTCCTGCCTCCAGGTTCCTACCTTTAACTCCTGCCCTGATTTCCCATAAGGATAGACTGGGATCAAGATTTGTATGAATTCTTTTCTCTCCAAGATGTGTTGGACTAAGTGTGTATCACAGGAAGAGAAATTCAATCTAGGATAGTTTGGGGTGAGACCTAGGAAAGTAAGTTTTAAGGAAATTTACAGGGAATGCCGATGAGGCTGGTGTGGGGAACTTCATAGTTTAAGACCTACTGATGAGAAAGTAATCCCTTATTTTGTTTCAAAGACTGAAACTTATTGCCCAGGAAGGGTCTTCTTAAGAGCTGTCATGACAGAGGCTGAAGATTTGGAGGTTAAGAGTCCTTGTTGCCCTTAAAGTGAATCCTGATTCAATTCTACATTTAGTCACATCTACATTTAGTGACTCACAACCATCAATAACTCCAAGTCCTAGGAATCCAACCTCCTTTTCTAGCCTTTTCCAGGCACCTGCACACTCATAGTGTAAATATATGCCCTCAGAAACATATATGTCCACATAAAATAAAAAGGAGGGTAGGAGTCATAAATAGCCAACAAAAAGTCAATCAGGTCTTTATATATTTGTATATATAGATATGGATAATAAGAAATATTATCTATACGTATTAGATAATATAGATTAATATAGATAATATTTCTTATTATCTATACCTAAAAAGAGCTGGAGTTATAGATGCATGAATAGTTGACCATGTTCTTATTGAGGAATGGTGTAAAAATCAATGTAGGGCAAGCCAGGTCAGTTGGTCCATCTTCTAAAGTCATATTATATGGAAGGTATAGTCACAGAGAAAATGGATTCATGGGAAACGATCACAGAGTTTCCTTGAACTAAATACAGTTCAGCCTGTGGTGTTTTATCAGATTACAGTCAAGGCAAGCACTGTTCTCATTTCAAGGACCACGGTAGGAGAGCAAGTAGGAATCGAGCTATTTCTATAGAAAAGCACATGCTTTCACAGTAGAACAAGTGTGCCCTGTTTCTCTTCCCTGTCCAATACTTGATTGTAATTATGTATTTTGGGTATTTTTGAAAGCACAATTCTAAGGAAATTCTCAAAACTTCAGTGCTCTAAAGAAAAACAAAAGTAATGTTAAGCTGAAAATTATACCCAGGCACATGCACAACTGTAACTATAGTAACTGAGTGCTCATACCTCAATGTATTGAAATTTTAAGCAAAAATTCAAGCAGTTCATTATTCTTTACTCTAATTTACATTTTAAACTAAGTAATTTCTGTGAGATATCTCAGTCTAGATAAATTGCTTGCCACAAGCCTGGTGACATTAGTTCAATACCTGAAACCCACAATATGGAAGGAGAGAATTGACTACTCCAAATTGTGCTGAGAGCCACGCAAGTTTACCTTGACACATGCATGCAAATACATGCGTGCACACACATACATACATAAAAAATAAATAAATAAGGTTAGGTAGATATTTAGAAAGCAGATATAGTTTAAGGATATTTTATGATTTTTAAATTTTTATTTATTTGTAGTACTGAAGACTGAACCTAGGGCATTACCCATTGCACAGCAAGAGCTCATTTCTACCCTAAATCCATGAATGCTCTTATTTTCGGTTCTCAATTTTCATAAAAGATTTCACAAAGTTGTTCCTGATGATCTTGAATTCAGAATCAAGATCATCAGGAATTAGGAGGTGACTTAGCCTCCTAAGAACTGGGATTATAGGCCTGTACTTCCAGGAGTGGATGAAGTCATCACATTGTCTATATTCTAATAGTAAGAAATAAGGACTTTAGGAGGCAAACCAGTAGTGAGGGCTGAGTCCTGGTGATAGAGATACTTCCCTCCCCCTTCTAAGAGATATGCCAGAGAGATCCCTCTCCCTTCCCACTGTGTGGAACTATAGTGAATCCAATTGTCTAAGTGGGTAGCTCTCCCAAGGCACCTGCATCTTTGATTTCAGCCTCTAACACTATGACAAAGATATTTCTATTGTTAATAAGCAACCTGATTTATAATACTGTTTTAACACTGAGCTGACTAAGAGGGACACACAAACACACACAGAGACATACCCAAGAGCACATGTTTTAAAGAAAACTAGCTTGTCTATTATGTAATTGGCTAATCTTAGAAAATTATAGCAACCAAATTCAATGACTGGAAGAAGGGTTGAATAATTAGCTCTTTATCAAATTTCTATGACTACTTTTGATTTCTAAGTTCCTATAGGAGGATAATTGAATAGAGTATCTGACAAACCCTAGGCTTCATTGGAGAGTTCTCTTACTTACTTTAAGCCAAGCACTCAGCACAGAACACATAGAGCCTGTGACAGCATCACATGTAATACCACAAGATTGAGTCAGTCAGGGTTCTAGTATTGTAAAGAGGAAATTGACATGGGGTCCCCAGAAACCAGGAAGTTATTTGTTGTTGACACCTGCTGGCAAAGGGCAAATCAGTTTATTCCAATGGAGTCTCATTGGGTATATCAACCACATTCCAGGGTAGACCCCATGATTAAAAGTAGTTGACCTACACAAAATGGACTCCTTGTTTTAAACTTGTAAAGGAAGTGGACTATTTGCTTGTTTCATTTGTTTTTGTCGTATTTGTTTTTTGTTTGTTTGTTTTGTTTTTGTCCTTTTCCTAATAAGAAAAAGAGGGAGTACGTGAAGCTGGTGGAAGGGAAAGTAGGAGAGCTAGGGAGGGATGAGGGAAACATAAGTAAAACATATTGTATGAAAAATATTAATAAAAATCATTTTAATAAAGAATAAGCACTTAGAGGTAGATTTGTATTACTTAGGGGACTGATTAGAAACTGTTGGGTATAATCTTGCAATGGGATAATGCTCTGTACCTGTCACTTGTATTTTAAATAAATGCTGATTGGCCAGTAGCCAGGAAGTATAGGTGGGGCAACCAGGCAGGAAGTAGAGGTGGGGCAACGAGAATGCTGGGAAGAGGGAAACGCAGTCTTCAGTCATGACCCAGCCTCAGAAGAAGCAAAATGTGACTGCCTTCCCCAAAAAAGTATCAAGCCATTGGCTAACATAGACAATAATAATGGGCCAATTTAAGATGTAAGAATTAGTTAATAAGAAGCCTAAGCTAATGGGCCAATCTGTTTAAAACTAATATAGACGTCTGTGTATTTCTTTGGTGCTGAATGGCTGCAGGACTAGGTGGGAGAGAAACCTCAGTCAATACAATCTGCTATACACAAGTAAACATTAATTTCAATCTTTTATTATATTACTCCACTCAAATCATTGTTTCTTTTTTAGTTCATTAAATTTATTATTATTATTGTGTCTGAGAGAGAAATCAAGGCTCAACATGTTCATGACAACTCTGTGGAGTCATTCTCTCCTTCACCTTTACAAGGGTCCTAAGGACCAAAGTCAGGTCATTAGACTTGTGAAATAGAAAGTGCTTTTCCTGATGAGTCATCCTGCCTGCCCTGGGTTTTTTTCTTTCTACATTCTATTGTTCTTTAATTTCAAGTATATTTTAAAATGGAAAAATCAGAAAGGTATCTGTAAATACTGGCTAGTAATCAGCTCTCTTAAACTTACAGAAGCAAACTTTTTTTGTTGTTGGTTTTTTTTTTGTTTTTGTTTTGTTTTTGTTTTTGTTCTTGTTTTTCAAGACAGGGTTTCTCTGTGGTTTTGGAGCCTGTCCTGGAACTAGCTCTTGTAGACCAAGCTGGTCTCAAAAATCACAGAGATCTGCCTGCCTCTGCCTCCCAAGTGCTGGGATTAAAGGGGTGCGCCACCACCGCCCGGCTGAAGCAAACTTTTATAATGCTGATATTGTCTTGAGTGAAACAGCAAAGTGAAATTGTGAGAATGTAGATGGAAGACGATTTTATTTTTATGAAGGATGCCCTGGTAACCATCCCTTCCTGGGATCCAGACTGCATCCTGTGAACTCAGCAGAGCAGACACCCTAGGAAAAGGCTGATGCGCATGAAAATATAGGGTATTTTGAATAGAAAAAGCTGACTGCCATAGCCTCCTTTCCTACAGATGGCTTCCTTGAAATAATCATACACTGCCCTGGCCCCCATAAGGAAGTGAATAGGAGGGGTTTCCTGTGCAAAACATGTGTTCATACTGACATACTTCTGGAAATGATATAGCAGTGTAAGAACAGGCTAGCTTTTGCTTTTCTCTGCTATTGGAAAAGATGGTATTTTGCAACAGACTGCAACGCAATAAAGCCTGCTAATTATGTTGTTAATCTTTCTGGAACTAATACTTTTACAAAAAAATCTTAAATATTCATTTATGATCCAATAAATTATATTGCTATCAGAGCTTTTAAAAACAATAATTCTAATTATTTTACAAACTGGGAAGTTGCATCTAATGTATTAAATACAGGAAGAAAAAGGAAGCATACTATTATTTAGAAAAACAGTTTTGATCATTTTCAGGAAAGCACCATAAGATGGTATTATGACAAAAATGTTTTTAATCAACAAAATCAGGTAATTTATTAGATCACTAAAAATAGTATAATTAATACTTTTTTCTACCTTCTCACTTACTAAGTAACTTACTTTCAATTTTTTTTGACACAGAGTGTCTCTATGTAGCCCTGGCTGTCCTGTAACTCTCTCTGTAGACCAGTCTGGCCTCATACTCACAGAGATCCACCTGCCTCTGCTTCTCATCACTAGGATTAGAGGTGCAGGACTCCACTCTGAACTTAAGTTTTTAAAAATGTTAAGATAGTTTGCTCAGATATTCTCAACCTTCCTCCAACTACTAATGCCCATTATTTGTAAACTTGTCAGAATTTGCTCAAAATAGCATTATACTAATTGATGGCATATGTATGGAAAAGCCACTGAGGTCAGACTATCTTCAAATATATTTGTATTTTGCTAATCTAAGTGACAGAAATGTGTTTGAAAAGAAGCTGCATCTGCCCATGGCGACAAGAACCTTTGGGTCAAAAGACAATTCTTGGTGTCTTCATGAATTCTTGGATTTGTGGCATAACTTCTACTTGTACTCTCTTTATCCTTACACCAGTGTGCTTGGAATAACATCCGCCTCACATACATCAAGGAGTGTGGTGAATTCTTTGAAGACAGAAGACACATGGAATTCAATTTTGAATTTCTGCCAAGATAATGCACCCAGCATATACTCAAGGAAAAGTGGCTAGGTCAACATGTCCATTCAGGGAATAGCTCTATTGTGCACATTTATTCTCAAATATTTTAAAGAGGAACAACTCCTGAAAGAAGTTGAGAAATCCTGTTCTGAATAAAAAAGAGCAGGGGTTTCAGTGCTAATAAGGCTAGTGTGTTCCGCAGGTGGCTTAGTGAAGAAAACCTGTGGTGTGCCACAACTACCGCACTAATTGCCAAGTATGGTTTCTAAACACCAGAAAACAAGTGTTTGCCACAGTTGTATGATGTTCTCTTTTGGATTTTTGCAGCCTTTAATATTTCAGAAAAAAATGTAATTTTGTTACCTAACAAAGCAAAATCAATGGCAATCAAAAAACATATGAACCACAAAGCTTATTTTGAAGTTCGTATTCAAAACCAGTTACAGGATGAATATCGCCAAAGAAAACAAATTCCGGATCCTAGAGTTTTGTTTGTTTGGTTTTGGCTTTTGATAGGAGGAGGAAGAAGGAAAGACAAACAAAAGTCTTGACCATTGTGGAATTAATGAGTTTTTACAAATCTTAGTTCTCTATAATTTTGAGAGTCAAACCTAAGAATTAAACTGTCACAAAGTTAATGCCGAGGCATTCATTCTAGGGAACTATTAAAATGGGTACTTTTTGCCCAATGAGAAAGGTTAGAATGTTCTAATTCAGCCAGTTCACATTTTTATGAGCCTAAATCTTTATAACAGAACATTGTTATGCTCCTGTGATGTTAATTGCCAACTTCATTGCTCTTCAATTTTGTGGTGTTTTGTATGAACAAAGTATCCATTCATATGTATGAGTTCAGTTAGTGTGGAATAAAAAAGGAAAAACTATAGTCATTAGAAATAATGTGTATGTACATGTATATATACATTGTGAGTTTGTATATGTGCTTGAAAGCATGTATATGTGTGACTTGTGAGTCTGTGTGAGTATGCATGTTAAATACATGTGTTCGAATATATGTATAAGGGTTAGTGTGTCTATGAGTTTGTGTATTATTATTTTTATATTGCCTTTCCTGCCAGAAGACTCCCTTAAGAAGAAACTGATACACAAAATGCCATTGATATAATTCTAAAATACCTTTTGGGTCAAACCTGAAATTTACCAATGCAAATGTTTGACTCCAACACAGAGAGGAGTCCGGAAGTAGTTTCCTCAACTATCTGGCTGTGTCCGGAGCTATCAGCAAGAACAGAGTGGGCCCTGTATATTTGTCAAACTCTGTCTACAGAAAGGTGCCCGCTGCCTGATTGTTGACTCCACAGGCATGCTCCAGCAGGCTCTGCCAACCTGGCTCCCTGACAGTGCCTGTTCATTTTCCTGTCGTGGCATGCAGCAGCATTTGCACCACTAGGGTTGTACTGCACGGTGTTATCAGCAGGAGCCAAAGCTTTTTCTTGTTGGAGGTAATAATGAGATGCACAAAGGAATGGCAGGAAGAAAGGTGGCAGAGAGGCAGGCCTCAGGGGAAGAAAATTAAGGAAAGCTTGGTGCTATTCACAAAGACTGAGATAAGACACCCCTCCCCCAGCCGCCCAAAGCCTTGCTTCTTTCACCTTTAGAAAAATTTGGACACATATTTGAAGAAAATAATAAGTTGGGGAAACTTTTGAATTCTGAAATGATTTCTCTCTGACAGGGTGGTGGATGAATACTTTCTACTGATATGTAGGCAGTTCACAGGAAGTTTTCCAGGAGGTGTTAGGATTGTGTGTGGTGTGTGAGCTGAGACTTGGTGAACAGCTTCCTACCTCTTACTGGGAGTCATTCTGGGGGAACAAAACTAGAAAGTGACTAGTCACCAAAACCAGCATTAGAGGCTACCTTTCTATTCGCCAATACACAGCTCTCTAATGGTCAACAAGCCCCTCTTACCACTTCTCAGCAATGAGATGTGTGCTGAGTGGCCTTTACAATGGTAAGGCTCAACCCTCAGCAAACAAATACTCTAGGGATGGTGACATGTTGTGTCCTTTAATCAGTCAAACCCATGGATAGCTACTTTAATATACTGTCTAAAACCAAGCATCTAAGGAATGGAAAACAAGACGAGCTAAGGAAGAAGGTGACAGATTTGAAACTTGAAGATCCTAGAAGTGAAGACAGGAGCTAAAGTGTAAGAGGAATCGTATACAAAAAAGAAGGAAAGAAATTTCAAATCTTCCCCAATTTATTGAGAACACTGTATATTTTCTAAAAAGAGGATAGTTTGGATTTTCATGCTTTTTCTTTTTTTCAGAGTTGTCTACCCCTGTTGTGGGAATTCATTCAGCCAATAGCCTTTTGGCTTTCACCCCATTAAGAAGTGGTCTGAAGTACTCCCTGTGGACAGATAAGCACAGACAAAAAGCATGCTTGCCCTCTTGGTGGTGGTCGGAGTTGTGTTCACAGCTTTCAGCTCTCATAGATGACCATGACTGTCTACCCTTATTGTGAGTTTTTCCAGAAATAAATGTTTGTTATCCTTTATTCCAGACTACCGTGGACCTTGCTAATTGTGACTAACGTGGGGCACAAACTCAGATCCCTGGAATTAAGAGTACCATGCTATACCGACTGAGCTAGCCGGGCACTTAAATACCATGGGCCTCATTAATTATAACTACATACCCTCTCGATGACTTAACATTTTTCAAAGGAACACTAGTAAATATTTATACTTACTTTATAGAGTTTTGGTGAGAGTTGAAGTAAACAGGAGAGAACCAGGCATATTACAGACCCTGAGCCTGTGGTAGCTGGAATGCATTAAACTAGTCGCAATCAACAATCAAAAGCAGAGGTAAGTGGGTACACACATGCTGACTTGCTTGCTTGTGTTTAGCATAAGTTTCCCACTCTCATACAGTACAGGTAGGGAATAATACTGCCCACAATGAATGGGCTGGACATTCCATATCAATTAATTTAAGATAATTTCCCATAGACATACTGACAGGAAAACCGAAGGTAGTCAGTCCCTCATGGAGCCTTTTTTTTCTCAGTAATTGCAGGTTATATTATAGAGTCAACAATGTGAATTTCTTCACATAACTGTAACAGAATAAGTAATTGTCTATTTTAAGACATAAGTCAAGTAAATTAACCAATTCAAGTATATGAGTAGTGTAGGTATGCTGAAAATTCATCCTGATTAACAAAAAAAAATGCAAAATCTAAAATGGACTGTAAGCTCTTTGTTACAATCTATTCATCAGAAAGTTAGAGCTTTTCCCTCAAATGCCCCACTCGGTGTCTTGAGATAAGAATTTTTCAAGAGGGTTTTGTAATCACATTTGCTAGCATGATTGAAAACTCAAAGGCCAAAGAGAGGCCTTGAATCACAAACCTATATCATTGCTGAGATATGTCTTATCTTGTTAGCTTCCTCCAGCTCTCTGGGAACAGGCCTGCAGGTGATTACCTGAGACAGAGAGGAAGTCATCCACGGAGGTGATGTCATCCACAGCCTCAGTCAGCACTCGGACCTGCTTTTCCCACTGATCTTTGAAGACATCCATGTTGTCCTGCGCAACTTTGCTCTGTGGCCGGGCAGCCAGGGTGAGGGCAGCATTGATGACCTGTTGGTTAGAAAACACAGGGTCCTGAAGATCACATTCTCCAGAAGCGAGACAAGCAGGTCAAAGCACAGGTTGGAACCACAGACCTAGAAGTTACTGCAGATAAATGAGTTGTCAGTATTCAGCACAATCAGAAACACTAAAGACAAAGGAAGTTAGAAACCACCATTACTTTTTGCTGCTTCTTTTGAAGATACAGTAATTAGCTTCAGACTTCAAAGAGTGTTTGCTGGACAAGTCTAATTTTCTCAGCACAGAAGTATGAGAAATATATCCCTTATTTTCTGCATGTGCAAGCCTATAATTTACTTATTGAGATAAGGTAAATAGATGTAGAATGTTTAAACCACAACTCCAAACAAACAGAATAAAGTCAATAGCAGAAAGAATGGTGGTAATTGCCACAGTAATCCTGAATACACTGAATGGTTGGCATTTCTTTTTGAGAAAGGTAAAACTTTAAATGTTTCTGGATTGGCAGTTAACATATTCCAGTTGAAAAATAATGGAGCTCTAAGTGGCTGAGGAGACAGCATGGAGGATAAAGTGACTTCTACAAGGGCTTGAGCTTGGAAGCCTAGAGCACACAAAAAGCCAGGAGTGGCAGCACACACCTATAACCTGGCCTGGCAGGATGCAGCAGAAACTAGATCTCTGAGGCACAATGATCAGTTAGCCTAGCCAAATCCATGAGCTTCAGATCTACTAAGAGACACTTGATAAAAATACATAATAATAATGCAGGTAATAATAGGAGTGGACCTCTGGACTCCATATGCATGTGCACATAAACATACCTGCATACCACAGTGCAATGGATGGGGGGAAGGTAAAGAGAGAGAGGTTATGTATAGAGGGGTCATGACTCTTAGGATACCAAGGGACTTTGGAAGCAAAGTGAAGGGTACTTACCTGTGGACATAGGCTGTCAATCTGGGTGGCTGCCATCCTGACTAATTTCACCCCTTCCTCATTATTAGAGATGGAACAGGCCAAATTGGCAACCTGTGTGAAAGGAGAGTCAAGTGAAAATTGAGTTGAAAAAGAGAGAAAGAAAAGGAAGTGTGACCCTGTGCTTTTCAGAAAGGTGTTATTCACTTCCAGCATCCCACCACAAGTGTAATAAGGTCACTCGGCTGTGCTCAACCCTGGGATACCACTTAGTGAATTCGGGTATGTTTACCAGGAGAATAGACTGCCAAGAAGAAACTACTGCTTCAAGATCCTCAAGTATAGTTTACACAAGTATGGTTTTTAAATGACGTACTTTGGATATGTCTCTCCTTTGTACTTCCTGGATTTGTGCTCACTTTCTTATGAGCCCCAAACACTCATCATTCAGTCAAAAATACCACACACTTGACTGCATCCATCCTTGATTCTTTCAGTGAAAGAAATGCTACATGTGATGATTTGCATTGAAAAGACTTATCATATGCCAAATTAAAGCTATCTACAAATGGAATCTACATCTTCCAGTCTACCAATTGTTCAATGCAATGCCCTCATGAACAGATAAGACTGGTGTATAGAAAGACAGTATGACTGGTGGAGTACATCGAAAATTATATAGCCCAAATCTACCATAAAAGTATACATATTTATTTTTTCAAGAACATTAAACAATTTAAAATAGCAAAAATAAAACAAAAAAAATATTTCAACTTTCCAGAACAAGCAGCCCTATTTAGGTTATTTTTTTCTCATCAAGGTGTGAGACTTGATAATACAAGGTCAGATTGATTGGCCAAGGTCAACAGTACACAAAGCTGCCATTAAAACTCTGATCCATCCCATCAGACTGTTGTCAAGAAGACAGAAGATTGAGGATTAGAGAGGCTAAAAGGGAGGAGAGGGGCAGTGTGGGCTGGGAGCAGCACAAGCAGAACAAGTGACTAGCAGAGGAAAAGTACCCTGGCACCTCTGGGCCACATTCATTTTGTACTCAGAGTGTCTATGGTTTCTAAAACAATCTGCTTCCCTGGCAGATCCCCTAATGCTCAAGGAAATTAAAATGGCCACACATTTGCATAATTCCTAAGGTGAAAGAAACCTGAGCTGGGCAGTGCAAGAAAGTGGTGGAAGGCAGAGCTGGAATGGAGAGTTTAACCTCTAGCCTGCTATCTGCAGGCATAGGTGTGTGTTCACATCGGTAGCTGGGAACACATGGATGGTGAAGTAGGAATACTTTCCAAAATGACTTCAGTGCACCATCAGGGTAAGAATTGCTTTTTGAAGATTGGTAAGAAAGATGGGGGATACTTTATGTTTATTACAATGGAAATATAAACTGCCAAAATTATAGCTCCAATGAGTTGCAAGTATTGTCTTCTAGTTTTTTGTCACCCATATTTAAAATTCTTCTGAGAGCCTTCCCCAGTACCGTGAGTTTTTAAAATAAAACTGAGAAAAGCCAAGTGTCTCGTACTCACAGTAAAGGACACCAAGTGCAAAGGGGAACATAGCTTTGGAGAAGTGATACAAGGGCTAATACTGAAGTCTATCAAGCTCAGTTTCCTTTAGCTGTATTTCATGGTTTCTATTCTGCAGTTTAGTATTTCAAAGATTTATTTTACTTTTAGTTAAGAGTATGTTTATGTTTCTGTGTGTGAGTGTATGCACATGAGTACATGTACCTGCAGAAGCCAGAGGTGTCAGATCCCCCAGTGAGTGGAGTTATAGGCGGTGCCCTATGCAAGTGCTAGAAACCAAACTTGGGTTTTCTCAAAGAGCAGTACTAGGTCTTACAGGGTAAACCATGTCTCCAGAACCCAATATTTTTTGTATGTTTATTTACTGTACATTGCCAGCAACTAATTTAGTACCCAATACAGGTATTCCATATGTATTGAGTGAATCATTAAAGAATAACTATTAACATGAGTGTGTAGAAGCTGCCATGTACCATGACTGGGAATATGACTTTCATGGGAGATACTTAAATTGAGTTGTGATTATTTGACTATACAAATTTCCACCATACCTTCTAATCAGTATGTATCCACTCTATGATATTAATCAATAGTTTCTACATTCTGGTTCTTATTGTGAACCCTAAATGCAGGCCCCTTGTTCATGGTAGTCCAAGAAAAATCAGAAAAGTGTGGGCAATTTTTCAGAAATATATTTATTTAAATTTGTTCTTTTAATCTTCAATTAAATTCTTTCTATATTGATGTGGAACAACTCTTTCTACCATAAAATATTTGTTTTATGTGGTAGCTTGATTGTTCTTTGGTATGTGAGACAGACTTACTGTCACATTCCTGAAAAGAGTGGACAGTTAAACAGTGCTTCATAACACCAACATGAAAAAATTAAAGTACTCCTGAAACCAAGGCTGGGTTAATATTCTCTTGCATCAAAAATAACAGTTCTGGTTTCTTAATGGCTATAAGAAAAAGGGAGAAGTAAACAAGAACCAGATGGTGTTTCCCATGGAAGGGCATGGTGACAGTTAAGTGTTGATTATCACCTTGACAGGAACTTGTATCACCTAGGAAACAAGCCTCCAGGCTCATCTGTGCGAGATTACTAAGACAAGGTCAGCTTCTGCATGCCAGTGAAGAATTCTCTAGATTAGTTTCATTGAAGTGGAATAACTCTCTCAAGTATGGGTAGCACCATTCCCTGGGGTTGCATCTTCCAGGGGATTAGAGAAAATTAGCTGAACAAAAGCATTCAGTGTCCTTTGATTTCTGACTGTGATGGCAATGTGATCAGGTGACTTAAGTAAGCACTACATTGATTTTCCTACCTCAGTAGACTATATCTTAAAACTGTGAGCCAAATAAATCCACCCTTCCTTAAGTTGCATTTGCCACAGTATTTTTGGCAGCAACAAAAAAAGTAATTAGGATAGCCATAGCGCTATCTATGAAACATTTTTCCCCACCAAAAAATAACCTAAAACTGTTCAGCTTGTATAATTAATTCAAATTTGAAAGAGAATATAAAAGATAAAAATGAGTGTGGAAAGGAACATCAAGACTGCTATCCTGAAAATACTGGTATTAAGAAATGGGTGGAGGAAATGTCATAACACCTTGTTCATATTCTGAATTAAATAAGCTACAAATATATGCAAATATATAAATCAATAAATGCATAAAGTATATTTATGAAGCAAAATGTTGTTACTATGGAGTTATTCATATTTAAGAAGCATGATGATAATATATTGATTGCTTTAAAAGAGACAGGGGGCCAGGAGGTGGTGGAGCACACCTTTAACCCCAGCACTCAGGAGGCAGAAGCAGGCATATCTCTGTGAGTTTGAGACCAGCCTGGTCTACAAGAGCTAGTTCCAGAACAGGTTTCAAAGTTACAGAGAAACCTTGTAAAAAAAAAAAAAAAAGAGGGGCGTGTTGGGGGGATGGCTCAGCAAAATTGAGTGCTAACTGCTCGCTCTTCCAGAGGAACTGAGTTAAAGTCATGGACCCCATATCCAGTAAATCACAGTCTACTGTAATTATATCTCCAGGGGTATCTGAATTTTTTTTTCTGGCTTCCAAATGTACTTCTACTCTTGCAAATATCTCCCCCAATACATACACACATAGTTCTTTTTTTTTTAATTTAAAGAGATAATCAGCATATTGATGATCAAAGTAGTAAGATGGCTGGCATTTCTTACAATTCTATGACTTGGAGAAATAGGTAAGGATATAAAACAAACAAGACTGGACAGCTGTTCAGAACAATTGAAACTGTTGACTTGTGATGACCTACTATAATAACTTGAGATATCGTTTAAAAAATAAACTTTACAATAAAAAGATTTAGCACCCATGCCCATACCACCAGCTATGGAAAACCTTTTTTACACCTTAGTGGGTTAAAAAAAAAAAAAAAAGAAAGCTTAATATAAACCAGAAAAGTCTAAGTAAAGTTGGAGTTGAAGCTTGCACACAAGTTAGTGTGCAGGTCAATCACAGAAGATTGTCGTGTTCAGACCAATGCTGCCTGTGGGTTTCCTAGCAGAAGCAGGCTTGGGAGCAGAGGAAGGGTTTGGGACTGAGAACAACCAAATGTTTTCACAAGAAAGAAATGCCAAACAGTAAAATCCAGAAGGTGATATGTAGTAGGTAGAGTGGGGACTTTTTTGTTCTGTCCTGGCTGCCCACCGGCTTATACCTGAAATAATCACACAGAAATTGTATTAATTAAATCACTGTCTGGCCCATTATTTCTAGCCTCTTATTGGCTAACTCTCACATCTTGATTCAACCCATTTTTACCAATCTATGTAACACCATGAGGTCGTTGGCTTACTGGGAAAGATTCTAACCAGCGTCAGTCTCAGGTAAGAGCTTCATGGTGTCTCTCTCTGGCCTTTTTCCCAGCATTCAGTTCTGTCTACTCCACCTACCTAAGTGCTGCCCTATCAAAAGGCCAAGGCAGTTTCTTTATTCAACAATGAAAGCAACACATAGACAGAAGAACCTCCAACACCAGTGATAACCTTTTCTTCTTGTATCTTTCTGCCCTTTGTTTAAATAACTTCATTGTAACTTCAGTGTAAGGTAGAAACTCACCATGGAACAGAACCTGGCAGGAGGGACAGAGCTGGCAACAGTGTGCAGAAACAGACAGCTGGCACTCTCCACTGTCCTCCGATTATTTATTCTCTTTAATTTCCACAGATGCACAAATCCTAATGTCTGGCAGCCTCTACTCTGCAAAGTACTCCTACGTTTAATTCCACTTAAAATCAGAATTCCATTTTTCTTCTATTGTACTTGGAGACATGCTGAGCAGATTCCGGATAGCACTCTAAGGACTTCAGAATCTCAGAAGGCAGAGTGTGTTTTTGAAACTGGTCGTGGAAGCCATCCAAACTCCTACCTTCCTGGTTTCATTATGGCTTTTATTCCTCTGCTTCTCCCACAAGCCACTGCCGTAATCATGGCTCTGAACAGATTTTCCTGAGTTTTGATTTTTATACAGCTCTGTCAGCAGATGACCCCATGGCTTCATCTTCTAGGTAGCTTTCATGAATAAAA